TCTTTTTCATACTCGAGTTTAGGAAGGCCCAATTGACCTGGCCATAAGCCTTTTCAAAGTCAAAGAACATTATTGCTGTATTAATTTTTTTTTCTCTCACTTTGTTGGCTGCTTCGTTTAGAGTGAGTACATTGTCAAGAATGTATCTTTCCGGTACGAAACCTGTCTGATCTATGTGGAAGCACTTGTCTGTAAGATCCAGGATTCTAAGGGCCAGGTTTTTCGCCAAGATTTTGTACGGCAATCTAAGTAGAGAAATGGGCCTGTAGTTTCGTATGTCTTCTTTGTCCCCTTTTTTGTGTAGAAGTGTGACTACACTGCTGCTCAACATGTTCCCAAGGCCCCCCTTCAGCCAGATGTCCTTGTAGAAGTTCAGTAGATCACCCCCAAGAAGTGGCCAGAATTTCTCCCATAATTCTTTTGTTAGTCCATCAATGCCTGTAGTTTTTTTGTTGTTCATACTTTGGACTGCCGCTTGCTGTTCCTCTAACGTGATGGGCTTGTCTAGAGCGTCTGCCTGTTCTTGTGAGATAGTTTTATCTAGGTATTGGAGCATTCTAGTTCGCGCTTCTCTAGTACTGGGGGGAGTGGGGGTAGGTGTCTTTGTTTGGTAGAGGTCTTCATAGAACTCCTTGGCTATGTTTAGCATTCCTTTGCTGTCTTTTAGTGTCTCCGCTGTTTCAGAGAGGGTTTTAAGGCCCTCTATTGAGCTAGATCTTGTGTTTGCTTTAATCCTCACAAAGAAGTGCTTTGACATCAACTCACTGAGCTCATACTCATTCATTCTCGATCTTATTTGTAATCCCTTTAATTCCCACCATCTCCATACAACCAGCTCCTCTCTTGCTCTGTGGAAAATGTCTGTATAGAAAGGCGAAGATGGATTGTCAACTAAGTTGGACTCTGCGACCCTTAGAGCGGCTTCTAGAGCGATTTTTCGCTGTTTTCTGTCGTTTGACATTTTCCTTGATATGTTGGCTGCTGTCTGGGCTAGTGCAGAGTAGCTATCTTAGAACCAATCCCATCTGTCATGGACTGCCTCTGCTATTCTGCCAGTTGTCCATGATACCTCTTTCAAAGGATTGGCTTAATAGCAGCGAGTTGTTCAGTTTGTGAAAGTTGGAACCTTTCTTCACAAATTGTTTGAAACTGATGATTAGTTCAATTGGTTTGTGGTCCAGCCCTGTGTAAGGCTGTAGGGGGAGGATGTCTGCCAGCTTGGTTGTTCCCATTAGTGTTTCTGAAATAAAAAAATAGTCTATAAAGGAGAAGGCAGTGTGTTGGGCGTGGTTCTTCTTTACTAAGGTGAAGGCTCTTACTCCCGGACGCAAGGTGCGGTATGGCTCAACCAGGTTGCAATCTAGCATCAAACGCTGGATAGGGACTGCCTCTTGTGTGGATTGGCTGGCCGTCGACCTAGATATACGATCTATCGTCGAGTCTAGGGTGGCGTTCCAATCACCTGCGAAGATGCAGGGCGTTAGAGGAGGGGCGAGATTCCCTATACTTGCTACAAAAACTGCTCTTTCCAATGAATTGTTCGGTGCATAAATGTTTATTATCCTCACTTCTTCTTCTTTCCACCGTAGGTTCATCAGACACCATCTCCCTTCTTTTGTGTCTACTTCTGAGTTCACTATGGAGCCTAACGAGTAGAGGCGGGAAGATTTGGGAATAAGGATGGTCGTTCCTTTTGTGCAGGAGTTGTCTGAGGACCATATTTCATCCTTGACGCCCCCTAGTTTCCTTGTAAGCGCTCTCCGGATTTTGTTGTGATCAGCTGATAGTGTGAGGTGAGTTTCTTGCAGCAGAATTATGTCAGCTGGTTTGTTGGTCGACTTGTTAGTCCTTTGATTATATCGTTCATTTTTTCTTCTTTGTCTAGAATATTGCCGAGTCCATTTATGTTCCAGCTTCTGATGACCATCCCTTGTGTTTTCCAGTCCACCCAGTCCTCCTTTGCGTTAGCCCTACTTCTGAAGGTTTCAATCATCGGGGGATCGGGGGGTTAATGAAGCCGACGACGGGGGAATAGGATGTCTAGGAGGGGTCCGGATCTGTTGCCTCCATGGCGGATGTGGTAGCATCCGGCGGGTCTTGCTGTGTCTTGGACGGTGTGTCATCCATCTTGTATTCTCCCATGCTTGAACTGACTCCCTGATCCGAGGACGTAATCGGCTTTAGGTCGCTGCCTTCTTCTTCTTCTTCATGCCATTCTTTGTCCTCATCGTCTGAGCAATCGCTCCTGTAAAATCTGTCCTGATCTATATGGAAGGCTCTTGTTTCTAGGTCGCTGCCACCACTGAGTGTTCCCGCGCTCAAAAGTTGTGCTACTGAGGCTGCCAGCAACTCCGTTGGGATGCCTGGGCCAGCTAGCACGCTGTACGGTATTGCTGCAACTGTCCTCCATGGTCTCCACATCATACCACTTTTCAGTTTGGTGTTGACTAGCATTTTGGCGATTACAGGGGAGAAGGCACCAGGCATGTGCCGCCCTTCCTCCATCTGCTGGTCCTGCTGCTCACCCTGCTCTGCTTGTGAGGAGCTGACTTCCGGCTGGCTGTCTGTGTCCAATGTCTCATACAGATCCAAAGGGAAAGTTTCTGTTACCTCCTCTTGCAAGATTTTGGCTACATTCTGGCCTTCTTCGACCCAGGGGATCGTGAAGGAGACATATGTAGCCACTTGCCACTCAGCCTCCTTCTCGATGTACCTGGTTGCTATCAACGGGCGGGTCCCCATCAAGGTGAACCTTGCTGATTTGGCCGATTCCACCACATGGGGGGCTTTGCCATCTGTGATGTCCTGGAGGGAGGTGAATTGCGGGTGTACTCCACGTTCAGCTTGATCAACTTCTCTGTCTGAGCCACCACCACAGCCACCTTTTTCTCCAGTACGACCCGTGCAGATTCCTCTTCAGATTCTGTCTCCTGTGCTTTTGGATCTGAGTGTGGTTCCTTTTTTATTTTATTTTTTGTGGTCTTCCATTTCTTCGGACGCAGATCCTGGAATGAGTCAATGGTGTTCATGACTGTTTTGTCCTTGTCTGTCAGGCCGTGTTCCCTTGCCCTTTTCTTTTCCGCGTACCAAAAGGCTGTGTATTCAGAAAACTCTTCTTCCTTCCTCAACATGTCATATTGATTGGCAGATTTCTGAATGCCTGCCACTGACCCTTTCTTGTTGTTGTTCCCATTCTTTTGGGATCTCTCAACATGCTTCAGGCACGCTGCTCTGATGTCGAAAGCATGTTCTCTCTCCTTTTTGGCTTTCTCCACATAGTTCCTAAGCCATTGGAGAGACCGTTGGGATTCAGACTCAGACTCCGAGTTACTATCTGAAATCCCGGTGGTCGTCCCAACCTCGTTGTTGCCTTTGCTGTCCTTGCTGTCTTTGTCCAGACCCGCTGTATCAGATTGAGTGTCCCTTTTGGGATCTTTGGAAGGGGGTTGTTCCTTTTGTTTCCCTGATTCTGAATCCATTGTCTTTTTCCTCTTGAGGCCAACTTCAGCTTTTTCCCGCAAACCATCTCCTTCCCGCGCGCGTTTGGCTTGGCTCAAGAGATGCTCTTCTTCTTCTTCTTTGAGCATTTCACGAAAGGTTGTGGGTTCTTTGCAATACAGTTCTTCCACTTGTTCTCTGATTGAATCCAAGTCCCGTAGGAGATCCTCTCTAGCTTTCTCTTCCCTGATCACACGAGAGTCGATCAGGGGGTTCATGGTGATCTTTGAGGGATTCCCCGATACTTTCCCCGTTGCCTTTTTTTGCCATCTATTGTCTGCCGGGGGGAAGATGCTGGGTTTTTTCTCTGATGGCTCTTGATCAGCATAATGCCAAACCCAATCCGGGTCATCAAGGTTATCATCAAACACCCATCCATCGTACTTGGGGTCAATGATGAACCACGTGCCCGGGGCATCTCCTACTTCCACTAGCATGCTCGGGTGAAGTTTCCGCTCCTTGGTTTGTTTAGGAAACTTCGGGCAGTTCGGATCTGTGCCCATGTGACCACGGGCTCTGCATCTGAAGCAGATTGGGGATGCTCTGGTAGAGACCTTGATTTCCATAGATTTGTTCTCAATTTCAAACTCCCAGATTTCTGGGAACACCGGGGGGTCGTCTGTCTTTACTTCCAACAGGGCAGTCATCGATCCACAGTGTGGTGAGAGGAATTCTGGGGTTGGCAGAATCCATTTGAGGATTTTGTTTGCTGTGTACTGCCGTTCCAATCTGTCTACCACTAGACCGTGAAAACCTGGGTGAATGTTGTCGAATTGCACCCAGAAATGCTCTTTCATGAGAGTTCGTTTGTATGACACAGAGAAGGTGGGGTTCTGCCTTTGGACTGTCTGCTTTTTCCATTTGGTTATCATGCAAATGGAACCATTGCAGTTCCTCGACTGCATTTCTGCTGCAATTTGGGCATGGTTCTCCTGATTGAAGATCACCATGATGTTATTGCGGCCCAGATTTTGCAGTGAGAAGCGGTCCCCAACCTCTTTGAGTTTCAGTTCTTTCTTGATAGTCTCAATGATCCATTTCCTCTTGTTTGCCGGCATCAGATCTGCTCCATTGCGAGCAAAGTTGAAGACTACTGCATGCCTCTCATGCAGGTCGTCCAGTTCTTGGACCTTGCCGTCARGATATTTCCATACAATCACTTCTTCTTCCCTCTCGCCGTTCATGACTTTCTTCGTGACTGGAACTCCCTCGACTTTGGTTCTTTCGATCAGAAATTTGAGTGCTGCATTGTCGATGAGTTTCATCTGATCCTTGTTTGCTTGTAGATTGCGGGGCGTGTAGACTACATTTTGAACT